TTACATGTGCTTAAACAAGCCATTGACGACATCAGAGAGCAGTTATGTCAAAAACTACTTTCATGACTTAGAATAATCGAATGCACAAATGCATTGTGCATTTGGAGCGATACTCTACAAAACGACACTAGAACCAACCTTTGAATATTTTTCAAAAGGACTGGCGAACAAACTTTTGTAGTCTTCCATGTATTCATGTATATCAGTTATCTCTCTCGCTTAATTATGCGGGTTTGCTTTGGAGAAAGAAAAATTATTAATTTCCCAAATTCAAGTTCAAAAGTACTTTCATGCATAAAAATCCCTCTTGCATCTATACTATGCCGACTGATCTATTTGACTGTTTTTCAGATCCATTATTATATCTGTTTTTTGGCATCCATTGAGTTCATTAACTGGTTTCAAGGTGTCACTTAGGAAAAAAGTAATAGATGCATAGATACAGTCGACGTAAAACTTCTCCAATCTTTGGTTCCATCGACATTTTAGTGTCTTTTGCTTTTTTAAACAGTTTCATCTTCGAGCAAACGTCACTAGCGTGGCTACCTTCGGCGGTTAAAGTACTGACAAACTGTCCTTAATCAGATTCCAAAACGTTTCCTTTTCGAAATATTGTATGGTACAGTCAACCTTTTCTGTGAGTCTGAAAAGTTATCGTTCTGCGAAAAATGGTTGAATTTTATATGAACTCATGAAACTTTCTCGAAGTCCAAAGTTTTTGTATCAAAAGCGGTGAAAACCGATAAGATTTTCGTGTATTATTATTGAGCAAGGAAGTAGAATTAACATTAGTTCTGACGGAAAAGTTTTTCCCGCTTCTTGTGTCTTGATTACCACGCAAAATTCCGTAGTTTCTTTGATAGAAATCTAAATCAATCATATAGTTATACCTTCCTTTTCTTCATGAAGGTCAAGGACAATTTGTCGCTTCTCTCTAAAAATATTGTTGTCCAATTATTTTCTGTTTTGTCCATCGATGCCCAAAGCAAAAGTGACGTTCCATAGGAGTTCGTCCAATGGTCAAAAGGGCTTGAGTACGCCACTCTTTGAAATATTTTTAAAAAATTATAGAAGAACAAATCGACGAAGTTCATGTTTTTTCTGAAAATGTGCCATTATCGAATGTTGAGGCTGGTGCAAACTTTGCGAGATTTCACGAACAGTAACGCAATGAATATCTTCTAATGAAGCCTTATGAAGCATAATTTGTCCAACAAATTCGCAAAGATCGAGTTGAAGTTATATGACTTTGATATCAAAATTAAAATGCAGGAACAATCTAGAGACTTCACTATTTCGTGCGATGCCGCTTTTCATTTGAATGACTTATCGATAGATATAAAATGGAAATCAA